TAGCATACCCGGGCATGCACCAACATACTTGTCGTTTATGATACCAATTGAAAGGGCACCATTCTGGAGGTGCTTTATCGGTATACCCTAAATCGATACGAAGACATCCAGGTGCACTCGTTATGGTGTTTGTGACAGTATGGAGAGCCTGAGTAAACTTCTTGGGGCGTTTTCTGTACATTTCTACCCGAATTTGCATAAAAATTTATGAAATCAATGGGGAACCTCCTGAGCTTAGCTGAAGGAAGCGAACATATATATATTGCTCCAATATATAGTTACAGCTGATCGCGTACGTAAGGCTGGTCAAAATCAAACATCTATACTCTAGCAATAGGATAGATAAACTTAAACTATTGGAGTAAAATCTGTACGTAAATTTCAATGCAACGTTCAGCCAGCCAATATACTAACACCGACGACCTTCAAAGCAAAAAGTATTTTGCTGAAATTCTATCAAAACTTACACTCAAGTGCACGCCAAGTAGTGAGGTTTTCAGTGCATGTTGGATCGAGGGCCGGTCCATGTGGGGGTAGTGCTACGAAACGTGGTCTCTTCTCATAGCATCTGAAAATACAGTACGTGTCAATTTGATATGCAAGTGTGTGTAGCACAAACGATAGTGAACAAGTTGTCGCTATCATCACAGTCCCAAACGGGTACTCTCATCATCACAACACATGTTCATAGCCATCGTTACATTGCAAATCGATCCTCATTAATCTCGGAAAATAACACACATTTGCATATCAAATTGACACGCACTGTAAGCCCTCACAAACTGTATGCCTATCACTCGAATCATAAACATAACTTGTTGTGTTGGGGTTCGCATGAACTACGACCAACACCAGAATCGAGCAGTTCTCGGAATAAATCACCCCAACATAATCGTTCGTCACCCAACTTACAGCCAGTCCCTATCCTTATGTCCATGATTATTTCCATCATCACCAGGGTCCATGACACAGTCTGAGAGTTGTCCCCAAATTTACCCCATTCTCTACTATTGCCATATTCCTGTGCTTGCGCGTTTTTTTTCTAATCTAGCACTTATATTACTAGGTAGTAAATCA